GAGTCAAAATATTCGAGATGGGTGTGAAGATATATGGATTGAATGATGCTCTTGTAATTTATGAAATTACTTATGCCCTAAACAGCACTATTGTATGACATTAATTTTGTAATAAATTGTAATGTGTTTTCTTCACTTTCATTATGTAGGTTTTGGCCACAAAACAATCAGTACATAAAATACTGGTTTAGTATTATAAAACGACGGTCCTCATAAAACTGTGAAAAACAGACGTCTGTTTTCATAAAATTGTCAATAAAAAACGACGTTTTGGAGCATTCAACGACGGCATTGAATTTACCGACGTCTAAAAGCGAAGTAAAATTGAAGAAAGACGACGGTATTGTGAAACAATTATTAACTATATCACGTCGGAGAAGCATAAAGAGCCGACATGTAATTACAAATAACACGACTCCAGTACCATAATACCGACGTCTAAAAGGACAGATATTGAAACCTGAACGTTACAAAAGACGACGTCTTAGAGCATGAACTCGTCCGTAACAAATCAAAAATCGTCGTCTTAAAATTTTACCACGTCGCTTGTTATATCAAAAACGAAGTAAAAAATAAACAATTCACGACGTAATTTGATATCCAGAGGTAAATTTGTCGACGTAAAAAGATATTTTGACGTCGTTCTTTTACAAAAACAACGTTATATTAAATATCCACGTCTCTTTTTTTATTCTTATGTCGTTACATATATTTTCCACGTCGATTGGCTGAAAAACTTCGCCGTCTCAGATATATTAGACGACTATTATTTTGGTAAAGACGACGTATAAATAGAGAAACACGGCTGTCTTTTACATGATCACGACGTTGTATATAAAATACGACGACGTTTATAGAAATAAATATGTCGTAAGTCATGAGCCTAAGATATTTTCCACGTCGTTTATTTTATATACAATGAAGTGGAAAAACCATTTCACGACGGTTATATAAATATTCACGACGTCGTATAGTTTAATAACGTCGTATTTTATTTATTTAAAGACGTATTGTATTTATTTACACGACGGAGTTTGTATAAAATAGGTCGTCTATTCTTTTCCACGACAATTTTTTGGTTCATTTTTCAGTATACAGACGTCGGTTTTTTTTTGTTCATGACGTTGTTTGTCATTACAACGACGGTGATTTCGCGTTGTGGTTTTACTTTGCAAAAGATGTCGGTCGATTTTACGACGGTTTGAAAACCCGATACACGACGGTGAATTTCCGTCGTCTTTTGCCTTT